GGGGGGGGGGGAAATGAAAACAATAAACAACAAAACCACCATACAAGGTAGGTTGTCACTAATTTTGAGGTTTTTCTTATACTATACAATGCATCCTGATCTGGTTGCCCTTTCAATGCCACTGTAATATAAATGTCAAAACACAATGATATCCCATAAAGTTGTATTAAACATATGTACACACTCAAGGTGCAAGAAGGTTAAAATTGGCAAGCATTTACTTACTTATTTTTCTAATTTGGGGTATCCTAATCTAACAGCTAACTGGCACAAACATGTGATTCTGTCTCACCCCCAGTTTCACAGCTGCTGTTCCCATTTTCTTTTAGGTTGTCTCTGGTGGTGTTCACATGACACCACTGTGAATCAATTCAGGAACCTAAGCCAGCAGAAAAACAACCCTACAAAAGAAAATTAAGCATTTTCTGCAGTATAGCTTACAGAATAAACTCCCCATGAAATCAGAAGAATGGCAGACTGACCACATGCGATCAGAACATCACTTTTAGTAGCTAACTGCAGCAAAGCATTTAAACCATATTAAAAAAAAAAAAAAGGAAGACAATCTTAGTGATGATGGTTATAATTAATAGTAAGTGACATCTTGAAAGCAAGAAAAGGTGATGTAAAATAGAACTCAAGTCTATCGGGTGACCTTTTAGTCCTACAAACTAGGAATTTTTATTTTTAACTCTTTCACACGACATCGTGCATTATCCTCGCGTAAATCAACTCATGCTGCAAATCAGACATTAGGAAAAGCAGCAAGAAGCACAGTACTTGAAAAGAATATGGAAAGTTACTTAAACTGTGGTTGTTACAGTAAGTTCATAGCATAAAGATAATGCAATTATTTACCAGATTAAAAATGGCTATGATCAACAAGGCTCCTATGGTGATGACCGCTAACGGAAGCCTAAGTAAAGGCTTTGTTTCCACCTTCTCCGAGACAGCACAAAGACGGCGCAGGAAAGGCCACTGCTCCGAGCAGCACTTCTGAAATAAAATCAGTTTGTTTCAAAAACCAGGATAATACTTTGATACATGAGAATAACTTCTAAACACAAAATGCTTTTTCTCTGTGGGAGAGCGTCAAGAGTCTTCACTGGAATCATGATTTAGAACTCTGAACCCAGGCATTCAGATTAACTGCCTGATGCCTTTCTGCAACTGAAAACTAAGATAATGCTTCCTTATTTCAAAGTGTCTGTGTGCTAAAATTTTCTGAATTTCTTTTTTAAAAATACAAAATTACGATGTGATTGAAAGTTCTCGGGAAATAATACTAAAACCACACTGACAACTCATATTGTGTTCATCCATTTCTGAAAACAGGAAACTTTTAAAAATAAACTTACCAGGCAATTCTCAGCAAAGCACACAAACAAAATAAGCACAATGATGGCTGCAACAATGCCAAAGGAAATTCCTAGTTTTGCAGTTCTAAATAGAAGAGAAAGCATTAAATAAAAACCAACGTTAAATGAAAAAAAATACTAAATCAAACCACAATTCAAACTTATGTTTGCTAACACTGTTTCTCTAAATTTAAATTGAATATTGATTCTAACAGCACTGGATGACCATAACATCGCACAGGTTGTCATGGCTCTGCTGCCCAAACACTCAGATATTCTGCTCCTCACTGACAGCCTGAATCCCTATCCCAGGCATGAACCTCATGAAAACTTCACTGCAACAGCCATGAAAAACAACCATGTCTCAAACTTCAGAATTATCCAATATCCACTCTCTCAGAGGGAAAGCTCAAAAGTTCCCTCCTTGTGTCTCCACAGACTGAGCACATTTGAACCAGCTAATCCTATTTTTCTGTTGCTTACACGATGTGCTTACAGCCAACTGTTCTTCTAAAACAGTACTTCTCATTTAATGGATCACCTCCCCGTAAGCAAACACAATATTAAGGAAATATTTCTATTTTATTTTCTTACTGATACCTAGGGTCTTATGCCAACAACGTGAACGCACTCCTTCATTAAGGAGTAAATTAGGCCTAAGAGGTTTATGTTTCTTAAATTCAAACCCCCAGGAACTGCAAAAGACTTTTAAAAGTTTCATGCCATGAGTTTTTCTTTAGCTATTGGTTAATTTGAATTATATATTAAAATACTGACACTTACTTGGGCATTATAAGCATCTGTATCAGAAATATACAGACGAACACAAAACTGGCACATGCGAAGTAACTCTTCAGTTTTAAAATAGGAATGGTGCGATACTGAAACACAAATTACAATGCATCTGAAGGATAATTCCATTTCTTTTACTTGTATCACGTTTTTGTCATGACACATATATGCAAATTCATACTCTACTGTTAAAAACATACACAGAACTAAAAGAGAACAAAAGAAAACCACCAAATAAAATTTACTTGCACATCTGTCAAGAAAAACAGCCCAGTCCAAAGGATAATTTCAAGCCTAGAGGTAAATGCAGAGTATGTAAATCAGCACTTCACAGATGCATATAGCCAAAATCCTCATAAAAAAAGGATATACACAGTAGTAAGCCTGAAGTGTATATACACACTCCAGTAACTACACATGGTACACCACAGTACAGTACATTAGAGTTATTCAACCAAAAAAGTACACTGTAACTAACAAATAATAGTATTAAACTTGCAATGAAATAACAAAAAGCAAAGTATTTTCATTAAGGATGCAGAAATACTTAAGATTTTTTTTAAAAAAAAAAATCTCATTACTTTTGAGAGGAGTTCATATGGTAAAGTCAGCAAACTCCTACTAACTCCCTTACGGCAAGAATTTAATCACAGATTACAGACAATTTCCTGTAATCTACAGACTGTATGGAAGACTGACCAACTCAAACAAATCATGAGATCTGCTTTTCACGAGTTGCGAAAAAAAGTCTTTGGATGTGCAGTGACCTCCAGAATCCAATTTCAGAATGAAAACAGAGAGTTTCAAATATATTCTTACGCTGCTCTGAAGTGCAAATCAAAGACCAAAAAGGATTATTTTGCTTTTACCAACCTCTTTTTCAAGACCGGGTTCAGCAAAAATCAGTGAAAATCCACAGAAGTCATCCGACTTGCCACACCACGGACTGCATTCAGAGACACACACGTTACAAACCACCCGCGACAGGCCAAGGAGAGTTCCCACGAGCCCGGCTGCACCTGAGGCTCCGGGGTGCACAGGGCCCGGGTGCCGCTGCTCGACACACGTTGGACAATTCTGCTGGGTCTTTACATTTCAAAGCACAACTCACGAGCGGTTCCATTTTTCTGTTGCCGACAGGCAGATCCAGAACACGCTCACAGGCAGCCGTGTCTGCCAGTTACACGCAAAGCGTAGCCCCAGACCGTCCCCAAGGTTTACAGACAGGGAAGGGTAACAGAGGTGGCTCGCAGCCTCCAGCAAGCTCCCCTAAATGATATCAGGCCCCTGTTAGGAATAGCTGAGGTACGGTGATAAGAGTTTTGCTTTTGATTTAGATGGAAGGGGTTTGGCCTCAAATTCACTGGTTTATATTTGATGGAAATTTAAGTACTGTATTTTAAATAAAAATTAAAAAAACCCAAACAAACAACATTGCCTGTGCTCATCTGCTTTTAAAGGCAAATATAGTGCCAAATGCACCACCTGCTATTGATAGCTCGTTCACCTCCAGCGAACCAGACACTAAAGCAACTTTATTACTACTCCCCAAACTGCGTTTTGACTTTACGTACAGGTTTTGTTCAAGACAGCACCTGGTTTCCCAACATTTTAATAAACAGAACACGAACATTAACTTCCTATCTCACTACTGCAGAGAGCCACAAGAAGCAAAGCAATAATTTTGTTATTTCATAGTATGATACGACATTGAACAGCTAGACTAATGATCAGCTTCTTGCTATAGTAATGCAGTAGTAGTCTTACTATATTTTTTACTTAAAATAAGTAAAAAGAAACAAAGACTCAGAAAAGGCAAGACAAAAATTCTGGTAACTTTTAATTTTTGAGAAGTAAATTTTATATCTAAACTTAAAATTAAGAACACAGATTATTCTCAAAGAAAAGACTAAGAAAACAATAAAATACTGCATACTTGGTTGAACTGAGGCCCTCAATTGTTGACATCATTTCATCATATATATCTTCCTCTGTCCTTCCCTTCTGAGATGAATTTCTAAGAACAAAAGGAAGTCCATGTCAGAAATGCTGTTCAGAAACAACTAAAGGCTACAGAGGACCATACTTTCTCAGTACACAAGTGCAGTAAACTACCAGCGAAAAGTTAAACAAGAGTGCTCCAAACTGACCTCCATAAGCACTTCACTAAGCATTTCTCTAGTTACTCAAATCTCTTTCAAGGCACTAGTTTGATAACCTAAGAGAATGTTTCAGAAGTAAAGATCATTTACTTGGTTAATTCAGTGGTGCCGGTACCATTGTACGCATTTCCACATATAGAGTCAATTTTTGATTGCACTACAAAGACATATATTAATACTACAAACCAAAGGTGTATTTACTTATAATATGATGTTTTGATTCTTTTTCCACAGCTCTTCAGGTCTCTCACTTCCCTACTCCCTTCCATCCTGCTACAGCTCATAAAACAAAATGCAGCCTGAATGCCTGAGGGGCCAGTAAGGCAAAGGGGGGGAAGCTCCCTTTAGAATCTGCTAACAATAACAAACATGAATTGAAAAGTCTTTACAAGGCCGAAGATTTAGCTTGAACTTTCTAATGCAGGAATCTCCTAGATGCAGTGATTAATCAGCCAAAAGATCACAGGCTTACAGTACACTGAACTGCAAAAGGAGCACAAGATCACTTATCGTTTTAAAAGAAAGTACTTGACAAACCTATCAGAAGTTCTCTGGCGCCCAGTGGAACACAAAGGTATATCCTATATCAAATAAGGATTTAAGAATAAGTTACACACTCAGTAAATGGCAAACAATTGTTGAAAATAAACTTCAGGAAGCTGCCAAAACCATTTTTATTTACAAATAAAAATTAAGAACCATTCTCAAATAGAAAAGCTTATCAAAATCACCCCTTTCCAGCAATGTTTTCTGATTTAAGAAGTGAGTGTTTTCTCACCAAAAAGAAAAAAAAAAAGAGTTTGAAAATCATTGAACTTCCTTCTTATTTTTCTTGATCTTCCTTTTTATTTTTCTCTGCACACTGAAATAACTAACATCAGCAGAGGCAAGTAGACTGGAAACCACTTCCACAAACATGGACAGATACTTTATAAAAATTTACTACAGCTGTCTGTCCCCAGAGGGGAGCACAGTCTTGCCGTACCTCCAGGAGTACAGTTAAAAGCACGAACATCTCCTTTCAGCTTTCAGGAATGGCAGATGGAAGGAAAAATCAGTTTTCTTAAATTTTAAAATGTTAAAAATCTTAAGAATTCTTATTCCAATAAAATCTTGCTACAGGCAGAGGATATGGAGGGACCATTTATTTTCTATGCATTTTAAGTAAGTGTTGAGTGCATCTTGAGTCCAGGACAAATTATCTTTTTCCCAAAAACCACATGTAGTGAGCAGGACCCCAAGACGCAAAAATGTCAGGGAAAAAAAGATAGTTTCAAAGTTTTGCTTTGAAGGTTTACTATGAGTATAGCGTGCTAGAGACTGGCAGAGCTTGAATACTGCCAAGTGCTGACACAAGTAGTTGCTGCACAGATACCTTCTGAGTTCCGTGTAAACATTTAACACCAAGAGTAACAGCAGAAATTCAGCCACAAAAACCAGGTCAGATTGAGTTCCACACCATAGACACGAGGAGCAGTTGGCAGTTGTAGGATGACAATCAGCACTTCAAACCTCACCTTTCTTCGCCTTCCTTGGCAACTCGAGGAGTCACTGCTCACACTTTCTCTGTGGTTCAGGTGGGCAAAGGGTCTGGCTGCTCCCCAGGACTCTAAATAACGTGTCATCCGAACAGATGCTCGCATCTTCAGCCCATCGTTAACTCGTGTTTTAGGGAGATGATTATTTGATAGGCACTGTTTGGACTAACAGAAAAAACACACTCATTTAGAAAGCACAAATGACAGAAATTACATAGAAACGAAGCTCTATGTGCTTGAGTAGTGCAGGACTATAAAATCCAGCTATTTAGTAGGACTCTAAACACACGTAAGTAATGTGTCAGCCAAGCTCAATTCCTTTATCTCCTTTAATTAATGTGAGCTAACGCAAATCATGACATAAGGAATTTGCTTCAGTCGCCTTTGCAAGACTTCACTTGTAGCACTGCAACACTCACACTTCCTGGTTTATTTAGGATGATGGGCAAGATCTCAGTAACAGATACAATTTCCTTGCAGTCAGCACAACAGCGGGGGAAAAGGATTCCCAATTCCTGAGCTAGGGCGTATCAAAACAGCGGTTAGGAGAAGATCTGACAAATTACGGGCTCAACGTTAGATTATATCCTCATGTCACAAGTGAAGAGTCAGGCAGTATATACAGGGGAAACAGTGATACCCTTGTGGGTCTACAGGGAAGTAAAACTACAGAATAACCCAATAGATCAATGACTGGTTGTTCTCTAATGTTGCACAGGTACCTTCAAGCGAGCAGGGACCATTGTAACAGGCTTAAATCCTCATTCAGAGAAAACGTGCTGTGTACCTGTAGAGGGGGTTGCAGTGCTGAGCACATAAAACGTGCAACAAAGTAAGATTGAGCTCTTGCTAATTAAAAGCAGCTCTACACCGTTCTTTCCTGCAAAGATCCTGAAGGAAAGAAGTTTGTCATTTTCATTCTTTTTTCTTTTGAAATATTTAACTCATGAACCATAAGCCAAGTCAAAATAGTAATACTCCAGGTGTTTGCAGTTACCAGACTCTAAAGGGGCAACCAACAGCTGCTAACTTTACACTTTGAAAAGAAGGTGAATCTCACATTTAAGATAGTGAGGCAGAAGATGTTAGACGCTTATTTTACAGACGATATTTTAGCTGAAAGTAGCCACAGAGTACAAGTATTCTTTCATGACTTGATCCCACCTTTTGGCCTGTTTTTGAGAGAGACACTTCACATGAATACGTAGTCAAACATGTATTTTTACTCTAAGTGGATCACATAAGAGGTTTCAGCATAACACTTAGTACCTCCAAGCTAACAGACATAAAACAGTAGGACACGCTTTCAGATCTCAAGTCCCAAATCCAAGCTTCGCAGGTGACTCATACCATGCTTTAATTCTGTTCCTGAACTAAAAAGGTGTATGTACCACAGACACCTTTGTGCTTAAAATGTATGTATATAAGTGAATAAATATAGAGGTTTCAAAACACACACATACCCTTGGATCAACCACTAAGTAGGTTTTGATATTCATGGATTCAAGGTAAGGATCCCTGAGGTGTCCATTCCCTTCTTCTACTTCATAAGCTTTGCCTAGGTGATTTAAGGTTGCTTCAGTGATGTGTACACGGCTGAGAATGAGAGAAATAACAAGAGACCCAAACACTTAGAGAAAGGTCACATTGAGCATTTCATTTACATTTCAATGGCTGCTGCTGACATTTCTGCTTTTCAGCCATCTTGTGCTTTGGCAGCCAACTCCAAAATCCTGCCAGTACTTAAAACTGTATTTGCAAGCCTTTACTGCAGCTCTTTGGCGCACACCTTTCATAGCAAGTATGCTAAAAAACATTTCCCAGAATTAGACAGTATCAGTACAAAATTAAACTGAAATGAACAGAGACAGATAAGAAACAAGACAAAACGCGATCAAGGTAGACAGGATGACGGACAAGAGAGACTCCCAGGCAGGTTGTTTCACATGGCAAGAGCCGCAGAAAAAGCTCACACAAAAATACAAGTCAGGACCATCTCATGCTAGAAATGCATGAGGAGAGAAGATGGTTATAAATTCTGGAAAAAAAAAAAACCACACCAAAACAAAAACCAAGAAAACAAACCTTGTCCAGGTTTTTTGTCAGCTACAAGGATAATTCTGAAAGTGTGTCTTTTCTGACTGAAGCAACCAGAGAGCATAACATGGGAATACACTTCTAAGGAGAGCAGCTAGCATTTTTCTGTAACCATTCACACTTTTCCTGAAATAATATTGTTCTGTATCTTGAATTGCGTATTTCCATATAAATTTCAAGCAGTATCCTTCCATAGAATTTCTCAACAAGAAACTTGAGTGTGTTCATAAAATAGCTGTTCTTATATTCTACTTTCTCAATGTTATCTTCCCACAGCTTTTCCTTGGCATGGAGGGGTTAAACGCTGTGCTGTCTGTCCCTACAATCACTCAGCACAGAGCTGTAAATTGAACATTTCCAGAATGAAAGCTGACAGTCTGAAGCTCTCCTGCTTAACCCCACAGAGCAAGGGAAGATCACTGTCCCATCCACCTCTACCTACTTATGCTGCGCATAGGTTTGCCTGAAAATAATTTAGCCAAGACCTGGAGACCACGGGCTGTGGCTTCCCATAAGGAAGAACAAAAAAATTCCTCAGTACTTTTGCAGTCACAAGGTAAGTGTTTTAGAATATAGAATATGCATGGATTTATTTGTTAACTGGTAACTGCCTCAAAAAAACATGTTTTTTTCAATTGTTACATTGATTATGCAGTTTTGCAATCTAGATGAACCTTCAAATCTGAAATTTTAAAGCTTGCTTGCTCTAAAGCATCTTTTTATTCCCCTAGAGACAGAGGCATACTGGGCAATTTCTGTATTAACTGAGCCTTAAACCAGTCATGCACTGCACCACGCTTTCTGTGGTTTTCTCTTTACCTCAAAAGGCAGGACACTTGTTCTCTATCCACCATTTTCCATTTTACCAAGCTTCCTCTCCCCTCTTCCCCAGACCACACACAACCACAGCATTTCTCAGGTCTTACAGCAAACTTCTTTCCATTTAAATGACTATGCTGATGACTTCTCAGCAGCTGCTAACGCTTACTGGCTTCCAGGATCAGCACAGAACCACGAGCTGCTACCGCTAAAGCTGCCTCTCAAAGGCAAGCCCTAACATGCACTGTTGCACTTCCCATGCTAGCACGGAACACCTCACAAACCGCACTCAGTTTCTGAGGCTAACAGTCTAAGAATAGTATATTCTGATCTTTCAGGCATATACATATTGCAGAGAATTGGTCTTAAATGCATTTTTAATTTTGGTTTTATGCTAGTCCTTTCTGCTCTACTAGCATATTACACTGTTATGAATGCAAATCAATTTTAAAATTGCGAAGATGATGAACAAGGATACTCTGACAATGGAAATGAAGTACTTATAAAGCTAGAAGCTTTCCTGTATCCTTTCAAAAGTCTTTAAAACTCCTTCATTTGCAGAAGTACAAAATATATACACTTCCTATTTTAAGTAAAAAACTCTAACTGCTCCTCATGACAAACTTCTGCTTCTGAAGGAGCATGACCAGCTAACATAGGAACAGTGAATGCCAGACACACCATTTTTCCACAGAGCAGGAAACAAATCTAACACAACATTTGCATAATGTATAGAAACGCTTCCTTCCTGTGAGCCTCAACCTTCCTCAAGTGGGAGGCTTCCTCTGGCTAGTGTTGAAGCACATGATAAGCCAGACCTGTATAGAAATAGGAAGTATTAAGCGTAGTGTTTCTGACTCAGCATGCCAATCTAAACCAGCTTTACTCTTTAACAGATTTAGCAAACGTAAGCATGAAGAACATAATGGAATAATCAGTTTTCAAGATTAGGCACTGGTCCTAAACGTGACTAGGTAAAGTATGTTTTCATGCCACGTTCAGTGTCATGTTGTTTGCTTTATCAACAAAAGAACCTTTACAACTCTGTATTCTTGTTTAATTGTACTGAATCAACAAACTTGAAACACTCGGCCTGGACTCTGTTGCACTGCTAACCAAGCTCCAATTAGTTTTCTTTCTGTTTCGGTCACCAATGCCAGAAAATAATTTAATGTTCTTATCTTCTTATCATTTTGCAGAAATTAATAATTAAGTTACAAGCATGTACCTAAAAGCTGTCTGAGTCATAGAAATATTAAGAAATGGTCACTGGTTAGAATCACTTTCCAAAAGAAATTAATACTTTAATGTCTGAACATATACCCACATGAATGCTATTCAGATAATAAGTACTAATTTCCACAGACCACTGAGAACCTCTAAAGTTACGGTCTCATTTGATAATGGAAAAAGGGAAACTTCATATGGTCTTTTTGGCGCATACTACAGAAAAAAAAACCCCGGTGTTTATTAGATAAATAATCCCCAAGTTCAGCTTAGAAAAAAAAGCATTTTTTTTAAATGAGGTAAATACAAAAATGCTGGTGTTTTTAAAAACATTTATATGCGTCCCTTTCAATGAGGATCTTAAAAAAGGAAGCAGGAATACCAGCCTCAGACCCAATGCTCTGCACTGCTGAGCAGCACATGGCAAGTTACCTTGCTGCTTTGCCTCAGCTCTTCCACTCAGCACGACTCACTTTCCTTTCTGTTCTGCCCACGACAAATGCTACACAGAGAGAATACACAACAACCAGCACCTCTGAATTCTCCTTGCGTGGATGCTCCGCATTAGGCTGAATTTTAATTCATTTGTGTTTTTTTGAGGAGAGGAGCTAAATAGAGAACTAATATAAATCAAGTGGTACCGATCACTATATTGAAAGAAACACTAGGTAAACATGCAGCTTTGCCTTGTCACCATACCTATGTCTACTGCAGTAGAAAGAGTATCTATTCTTTAGCTAAACTTACAAATATAGTATTATCCCTGTGCACAACCTGAATTAACTAAGTCGACATAACGCACTGCTGAAGAAGCACGAGTTTCTCTAATGAAGGGAAGTTTGAGAAGCAGTCACTTGCCTAAGAATAGAACTTCACAGTCCACTGAAAACAGAATCAGAAAATAACAACATTTTACAGCTCTGGTAAGTACACATTTGCCCCACTTTCATCATCCCATTAGGAGGATTTGTGTCCCGGCACAATACAAATTCCAGACTCATAAAGCAGGATCATGACAAGGACGAGGACAGAGCGAACCAGCCCGGCCAGGGAAGATCCTCACCCAGGTACGCCCGCGGACTCCATGCGGTTGGCTAAGGACACGTCGTGCGACCAGACGTCATACTGCCACTTCCGGAGGCCGATCACACCGCACAGCACGTTCCCAGAGTGAATACCAACCCTCATATTGATATCCACGCCCGTGGCTTCTCTCACCTGCCTAGGGAGGGAGGAGGCTATTAGAGCAAAGTTATACTTTTGATTTTCTCTCTTCCTGGAGATCTGTTAGGGTTTAGTTTCATTACACACCTAGTGTAAAGACAAGAGATACTTACGACCTAATGTGTAACCATCCAGCTAAAGCTAGTAAATCCACTTTGAATGCTGACCAGAAAACTAAGAATTACTTTCTTCAATATCTTCACAGCCTCAACACATTAAAAAGTCTTCTGTGCTATACTTACTTTATAGCTTCACACATGTCGAGTCCCATTTTAACGCAGTTCCTGGCATGAACTGGTAAGGACACAGGTAGGCCAGAGACACAGTAGTAACAGTCTCCCAGGATTTTTATTCTCATGCATTCGTTCTCCTGTGAAATTACAGTAAACATATTGAAGAGGAAAAACACAACTCTAAGTAGGCTAATGATACCAAAACTAGGACTGGTCTACATCGTTTTGAGAAAGTCAGGCTTCACTCAATCCTTGTCGAACCAAAGCTTATTCTCCTTTCCCACATCCAAATGCCTGGACATTGCTCACTGGAGGGTAACAGAATTGACCACTTCAAGCATTTCTGAAATTAAATCATCTTACTAGATTCTGACTTCATTCCTGGAATGTTATGCAATTTAGAAATTATAAATTTAAATAAAACTATCACAGAATTTTCAATACAAAGGATGAAATCTACTTATTAATCTTTTAATCTTCATCGCCAATAACACCTGAATTATAGGCAGTTTGTTCACCTTTTCCTCAATTTTTGCGTGGCAGCCTCATAAATAAGATTGTGCGGTGTCACACAAAACCTGCACAGAATTTAGGGACGTATTAGGAATTAAGATGCCCAACCTGGTAGCTCTGAAGAAGCAAAATACTTTTTTTTCATTTCAAAAATGACTGAAGAGGAAGCCAGCACATGCTACAGTTTGCTATCACAAATAAGAAAACCCCACAATACTATTTGGCAGCAGAAAACTTTGTCTTAGCTATGCAACAGAGGATACTGCTGCCCATGACAGGCTGGAGAGAGGAAAGGGGAAGAGCAAAGAACTCCTCATACTGTCTTCTGTTAAAAATTACTGAAAAATGTTAACTACAAAGGTTGCAAGCAAGCCAGAGCTATTTCTGTGAGGCTGTGTAGTGTCTGAGTGATGAGGAGAGACGGCTGAATTTGGGCCAGCTGACAACCTTCAGCTGCCCACCCTCCCTGCTGCAGGAACAGCCCAGCAATTCTTAAACCAGCCCAGATCACTGGCACTTTACTAACCTAAGCGTTCTCCCTCATCAGTCAAAGCCTGAAAAGAACATTCAGCAACTTCCCCCATCTTAAACCATTCAGTAGGCACCGAGCATTGCAGCAAGCAACGGCCTTAGACAGCCCCGTGCTTCGGTTCTGGAGATCAGCGGGGAACCGCGCCCTGGGTTAGAGCTGCCCCACTTCAGGACCCAGCTCGGCGCCCAGGTTAGCCACTGACTTTTATTGGGTACACTGGAGCCTACAACATTTTTACAGTATGGAAAAGACAACTGAGAATGCTCCTCAGCAGAACAAAAATAGCACAAAAAGCAGGAATCTCTTCTTACAGCTCAACCACAGAGTTGCAAAAGACCCTGAATCACTGAATCCAGACATTTTTAAATAGTGCAATCTGCAGACAGCAGTGAGAAATTAAAACATATCACTCAAAATTCTGAAGCTCATCTATTTTTTGTATCTGAGGAACAGTTGCAAAAAATGACCAAATGTCTTCAACCTCAGCTCATACTGCTGCATAAAAAGCTCCTGGCAACTAACGTGAAATGATGACTTCTGTGTGTCCTTAATAGCTGTTTTTGCAACAATGCAATGACAATACAGTTAGCATGACTCCTGCTTGCCAGTGCTCGAAGTTTTAACAGCAGTTCAATTTACATAAATACAAAGATTTAGTCATAAAGGTTAACTAGGATTTTAGCCATGTTTTAATCAGTGATATATGCAAACATTTATTCAGTGACAAAGATTTAATTAAAGCAATTTTACTTGCCTGCTATATTAAGAATGTTAGCGTTTTCCCACTTTTTGCTGAAGAATTTTTAGAATTTCACAAAACCAAGACTTTGAAGTTCGTTAATTTTCTAATTTGCCTTCAGCATATCCAAATATAGTCAATTATGAAATCAAACCAACACCTTTAAACCATGGGAAGTTTTGATAGGTAGTCACTCATCTTGACTTACAGTTTATCAATGTTAAATTTCTGGAACCAGAATTTGGGCTGGTATTTGGGTTTTTTTTTGATGTCACATAGGATGCAACAAAATGCAGCATTTATTTTCCTAAAACCATACACCCTCAAAATACTAACAGAAAAATCAATGGATGTAACAGAACATATATATTCAAGATTAGGGTCAGCTTTAGAGTACAACAGAAATCATCAGAGGCACACAAAGGTGTATATGATGCAGCCCCGGTCATCTGAGAATTCACTATTTGAGTTTGTGATCACAGTTGCAAAGAAACTGGAAGTGGTAACTTGGAAGTGGTAACAACTACTGCCAGCCTGAAGGGTCAATACTGAGGGTATGTCTTAATAGGGACCATTTTAATCTACTTCCCTTTCTTACACTTCTCTGTAAGTATCCTTTTCTAAATACTACTCCTGAGCTAAAGAACTCCTTGGTCTGATGCAATACGACAGAACTTACGAATTTAAATGTATGTCAGAGTTCTCCATTTGTAGATTTCCTGCTAACAGAACACAGCAGAGCTCCTCGCTAGAGCTCCTCTTACAGCCCTGTTACAACCACTCACTGTCATCAGGCAATTTCCCCTGAATATGATAAATATTCAGACTCAAGAATTATAATTACAGTAACAACTTGCTAAATTTCCCATTTTTGGTTTAAATTTTGTTTTAACGTGATTTTGCTAGTTATCTTTAAAGACAAAGCAGTCCTCCCTTCCTGACTTCAGAAGCACTAACACCAACTGCCTTCTCTCTGGAGGAAAAGACTTCTTTTTCCAACGGTGGTCTTTATCCCTATTGCTCAACAAACTGCAGCACCTACCTTTGCAATCTGATCAAACTTTCCAAAAAGTTCATTCAGCATCACTACTAGTTCCTTAGGAGAGCAGTCACTGGCAAGCCGAGTAAATCCCACAATGTCTGCATAAAGAATGCTAGACAAGAATAAAAGACAAAACCAACATAATTGACATATGAAAATACATCAACTCCACACTCAGCTTAAATATTAAAATGCATTTAGTAGAAAGCACCTCTCTCTTTAGAAAAGAATTCCAGAAAGAAGGGTTGAAGTATCTCAGACTGACTTAGGAGACAGCACATTAGTTCAAGACACGTTATCTTCCCACGACGGGAAAGAAACTCACTTCAGCCTGAAAGTTCGCCTTCAAATTTTAATTTCACAGGACTGTACATACAGCTAAGAATCAACAGCTTATATATAATTACTTTTAGGGCTTCCACTTACCTAACATTTTGGTGCCTTTTTACATATAAACTGTGAAAATTGTTGTCATGCATTTGTCTATTATCATTAGTTTCCTTCAGTCGCTCTATGATTGCTAGCTTCATTTCCATGGAGATGTGAGCTGGTAGTATGGATAAAAGCAAATTTTCCTAAAAGCAGAGGGAAAACCCACCAATGACGCAAAATTCTTAACACAGTAAATTTGAAACTGCAGGATTTTAGTGACTGTAAGAAGGAATTAAAGAAAACGAAATAGCTTTATTCAAACAGCTTTTGAGTAACGAATGTCAGGTTTTCCAGGAAAGACTTTTTTACATTTCTAATCTCAAAAATCACTGATTTTACAGTTAAGGAAGGGTGGTGCATATTTTTTTCTCTCATTCCTTGTGACCTAGGTGTGACATTTCTCTGTTACCATGAAACACAAAAAAATTCAGTGTTCAGGACTACAGTTTCTGGATAAAAGAAAACTTCTTTTGTCCACCAATCTCAGTGTTACGTTAGTACTATCTGATAAAGCTTCTGGTAAAAACTGACATAACTAACAATCTATGCAGTATTAAAAACTCTCATGAATTCTCAAATGAAGGAAAAGCAGCAACAGATACAGAAGTACAGACAACACGCTGCTATAGTCTAAATGAACCAGGAACTGATGCCACTGAAAGTCTTTTGAAATGAGTGAGAATACAGACTCTTCCAAAGGCGTGTACAGGGTTTGACTATTCAGTGCACTGTTTTACACAGACTTTGACTTTAAAGTCTGTTCTTCAAAGAAGACCCTTCTAAGTTGCTGGGCAGAAGAGAAAGACCAAAAGAGAGTACTTCTAACCCAGGAAGGGTTCTCCTGCCCCAGAGAGGGTCACCACAGAAGGGGAAGTGCTGCGTGGAGGCAGCTACAAGCAGGAACTTTTCCAGATGACACGGCCAGCAAGGTCAACACATTGTGCCACTGAGTAAAACGCTGTCCCTTTGGACCAAATCTTTGTGCCCCTTTCCTGAATACCCAATGCAGCAGTATACAGATGGTACTAAGCTGCCAGGGCTACCTCAGCAGTGCCTGCCACCAAAAAATAATTGCCTTGGGATCAAAGGGTGAAGAGGAAGCACCAAGCACTGCCCTAGAGTAGGTAACAGACAGCAGTTCAGTTTGAGGCTGTCCCCAAAAATGAAGTCCCTCCTTCCCCTTCTCTAGCATTGTGAAACCAGGGAAGTCAACCTTGGGGAGCAATTTAAACTGGCAGCAGGGCCCCCGTGAATGTAACGAGGACATTTGAGGCTGACACATTACACAGTTTTCAAGGAGGTGATGATGAACCCTGAACTGCATTTTTCACTGAGAAAAAGTGTGTGGCAAAAAAAGAGACTTGAAATTCAGTGACAAATTATAACATAGAAGAAAAGAAAGCTGTCCATAAATTTAAGCACTACGCTACATAGATTTAAGCATCTACACTTCAAATAAGCAATAATAATAGAAGAAAAACAAAGCAAAAAACAAACAAACAAACAAAAACAAACAAACAAAAAACAAAACCAACAAACCCATGCAAGTTACCACATCACCCAAAGAGTGAAAGCACACTGTCTGTGTAAGCTGATCAGATGCTTCCCTGGCTGCTGTGTGGGGAAATTCTGCCAGGATTCTCATGCAGATTTGTCATCTCATCCCACCAGACTAGCATCAGAGGACAGATGCACAGGCAATGTGGCTTTTCTTTTCAATTTGATCAAGTCAGTCCCTTCTTTTATCTAATACCTGGTGGGCACAGAACTCGGTATACATCAGCCTTCTAGAGCTGCTGTTCTTAACCCTGTTGATACCAGGATAAAAGAGGAAAGGTGCCCTCATTTTAGCTTTGAATACAATCCTCCCTCAATAAGAAATTAATGTTCCTTGCTTATTTTTTAAATACCACTTGAGTTTATGGAAATAAATGATATTATACTCAAATATCGTGATCTATTATATTTTTTTGTCTCCCTTAGGCTCCAATTTTCCTCTTCTAACAAAAAGAAAAATAGTTTATGAAACAAGAAAACACTTTAGAATTCAAAACAAAAAAATCAACCAAGGGAAGCATGAAACTAACTGCCAAAATTACAATTATTTTTCAGGGCATTAAGGGCATGTTCTTTTATGTTACCTTGGGCCAGTCCCAGTAAACATTTTATACTAGGTAAAAAGTAACTTAAAATAACTGGCAATTACATTCTTCTTACAAATACTGCAATTTTCATATAGACAAGCCACAGAGAACAGTTTCCTCCCTTTAACTTCCTTCTTTTGTTACAAATGGCACAACTTTTGTTTTTGACACTAGGTGGGTATCACAAATATTAGAGCAAGCCTTTCAACATGCATTAGTCACCAACCTTATAAAATTATACAGACCTTAGAAGTGGAAATAAGCAACTTGTAACATGAATTAGTTCACTCACTTGTTGCCTCTTTTCAATCTTCAATTTCATTCGGACCTGAATGCACTTTAATGTGTATCTATACAAATCCCACGAAGCAACCTGCATTTGGCGTTTGTGAAATGCACCCATCAAGTTACCACAAAGAAAAATGACAGCATTGGCAAGTAGCTGCACAAGAAGAAAAATATTTACCTGCTGCAGAACAGTTACTGATATTTCACTACTACACATACTAGTCCCCTACAATCTATCAATCCCAGGCCATGTTCAGTTTTTCTCTTAGCCTGTCACACACCAATCATAGCGTTGCAGTTAGCCAGGATGCACCTGGGAAACAAAAGCCAACTTTCCCAGTCATGGGCATTCCTATATGAACATATGGCAGTACAAGAGACAGAAAATTCTGCTGTATCATTTAAGATTTATTTGCAGACACCAGCATTTGATCTAGGGATAAACCAGTCTATAAACTCATGTATCAGCATGCTGTGGGAAGTCCGACACACACCTGCATCAAAAGGGCTGGGGTGCTCCTTTGAACACACCCTATTAATAAGTGGTGAGAACCCTAAAAGCACCCAGCAGCGCTCCCAGGCCCTGCTGACTCCCCAGGGCAGCAACAGCCCTTTTGATCCACCCTGTAGGCAGTGCCAGGTGAAGTTAGACAGATCCACCTGAAACAGCACAGACTGGGAAGAACGGCGGTGACAAAGTTTGTTGTATTTTGAGTAACTTAGTTAAGAAATTACAATAGTAATTCTGCTTCTTCCACTTAGGCCAGAAAACAGAAATACATTATTATACATTAAAATAACCGCAATTTTGTGAAAAGCATGCAAAACACATTGGGCACAAACTCCAGATCCATTAATTTGAAGCATTCATGTGGCACTTCAGAATTATGCTAAACAGGCTAGTCATATATCAATATCAAATGATAATACCACTAGAGTGTTTAATTACTTAACCAAGAAGTATTTCCTTACCTGAAATAGAATGGATTCCTTACTTTCCTGAGAAGTCATGCTTACCACAATGCTTAGACCAATAATATGGGAGAGAGCAGAAAGAACACTGATTATGACAGCACCTCTCATCCCAAAGGGTAGCATGGTATAGACGGTGAAGATTATGAATAGGAAAAATGGCACCTTCAGAAAAAAGAAAAAAAGAATCACACATACACGTTATTAGGGGCCTGCCAAAAGTCACTACAGAACAAGGAGGAAAGTAGCAGGATTCCTCTCATTTTTAGGCTGAACAATTAATGTTTCAAAAGCGCAATTAAAAACAAAAGCATAGTGGTAGTCCTAAAGGTTTTGAAGGAATTAGCAGCTATAGATTCATAAATGAGACAATTTAACATATCACATTTAAGTTTTTCAACTGTCTTTGCCCTTTATGTTTTAATTATGCACTACAGCTGAAGATGCACATCTTGCATCAGGAATAGTGTGTTGCATGGGTAGCAATACTGAAAACACTCAGATTTCTCACCTTCCCTGAGTTATTATTCTAGTTTTAAAATGTTTACTCGGTATTTGATAAAAAACAAAAACCCAACCAATTCTTCCTAGTGCTGACACAAGAGAAAAATCACTATGGACACTAAATACATATTTAGCTGCACAGATTTCACAAAATGCACAATGGTCCACTACACTGCGGGGGAACAGAAGGAAAACCTATAGGACTTAAATCCATATTTATAGATTTGTTATAGAGGTTAGTGCATATACATGGAAACTCACAACCATGATTAGAAGAAAATATTTTGATGTCCCTGGCTCAGCTCCATCTCAGCCCTGCAACTCAGCTTATGCTGTTCCAGACATGAGCTTCCTTCAAGGAAGTCTCAAGGCCCAGTTTGCACTTAAATGTTTTGCCAGAATAGATATCTTGGTTGGAACAACAATAAACAAACAAATGGGCAAGTAAAAGTTTTCATTCAACAAAAGTAATCTTTTCATGTTCTTTTTTATTATTTTGGCTGTACTAAAAAAAAAAAAAGGTATCTTTTTCTGCCATACATAGCACCCTTATCATACAATATCCTGAATGCTGCGTGATAGTTTCATAAGCATGGACAAGCAAAGGTCAAACTTGCATTTAAATAGTGGCTTTATTAGTGATAAATTCATAACTTGAGATAAAAGTCTGAAATTAATCTATTCACTTCTACTTTCTAATCCAGGCTCTCCTTATACTTTAGGCTTCAAGTCAACATTAATGAATTATTACCAGATGACAACACCACAAAACATTGGCTTGCAACACTGAAAGCAGCAAAACCAAATCTTGCTTCATTACATGTTTTTACTTACAGTTAAGAACTGTATATTTTGTTTTTTCCTAAGGTAATAGCTTCTTCCTTAAGTTAGCAAATACTGAATAGCAACTTTAAATACACAGTGCTGGATCCAGGCCACAATACAAAACAGATTTTGGTTGTTTAACTGATAATTATAACTTTCTTTATTTGAAATAAAGAGGGGAAGGGGAAGAGTCAGTAAAACAAGATAAAAAAATCATTTTTATTTCATTAAAACCTCCCCTGTTTACATTATAAAAGCTTAGGAGGAGTTTCCTACAGATTATGATATTTTTGGCATCATGAAATCGCCCATCTTCTGATCAGAGATACTAAGCAACGAGCTTTAGCCACACCCAGCTATGCCAGGATGTGTCATAATTCTTATTGTTCACTTCACCTCTCCTACTGATCTGAAAACAGGCTCCCTAGGGCACACCCAGCTCTAGGTCCTTTACACATTTCTTGAGCACCACTTGGACCCACGTAAATTAACAAAACAAGTATTATTACTGAAAAATTATCTCAAAGGTGAAGTCATAGTAATTAAGATTTAATCAAAAACTTAAATAAAAAACAATTCAATTACAACTTAAAGATGCAATTCCTGCACAGATTGTTGCAGTTACCCAGTCTTCTCAGCTGAATGGTATTTTCACTGCAATGAAGAATACAAACCAATATTTATTATAATAAACCAATAAAACCAAATTGGGAAAGAGAACCTAAATCTCAAGAAAAAAATACTATGCAGTTATAACATTCAGAAAAAATAAAGCATACAAACACATTCATATATAACTACTAGTTCTATGTAAGCACCTGAACAAGCTATACCTACCTGTTCCCACAGTTGATAATCACTTTCTTTTTCAAAAACAGATACATATCCTACAATTAAGAAGCAAATCCAAATCATAACTCCAAATAACGTCAGCCATCTCCGAAACAGGGATTCAATACATAAAAGTAAGTACATGATTGCAAATACGACGAGAGCAGTGCAGACTGCAGCAATGAAGGCAAGATGACTACGAGCTTCCTGCAAAAGCAAAACAAAGTGTTACACTTCCACCATTATTATTTCCCAGATCAGTGTTTCTGGGCTTGTCTTTTAAACTAAGTTCTTACTATACTATATTGTACAATGCAGATGTACCCAAAGAAATGCATTTCAGGAGTTCAAGCTTTGCTAAAAAGGAGTGTAACATCATTTTTCCTAATTTTTACAGATGAATTATGACACATAAATAGTGTTGCTACTTCTTTCCTTTTTTGAGAAACAAAAGCTAAAAGGGACAGAAGCGCAATTGGTAAGATTACATTTGTTGCTAAAGAGAGACTTAAAGACACTTTATCATGAAGCACAGTATTTGGAAAGCAGTGTTAGAAGGCAATGAAGGATTATAACAGTTCCTTATTACCTTTTTACATTATCTTTAAATGAACTCCCTTTTTTACCATCTGTCAACTAGGCTGGCTTGAAGAACAATTAATTTCTTTATGCTATACAGGAAAAAGTTCTTTCCTATGCCTATAGGATCCTTGCTCTTTGCAACCTGTTGATTCAACAGATCCTTCGTACTGAATGATTCTTGTTGTGTTTGTATTACCAAAAAAAAAAAAAAAAAAGGAATGAGTATATACAAATCCTTTAAAAAATATTCCTTAGATGAGTCTAAAAAGAAAATATGAGAAATGCAGGACATTTTAAATTACATTCTTGTTCCTTCCTTGGCCCCTTTATTACTTATTTGCTATCATAGCTTCCACTCAGCATAGATTATTATTTGTTCATAACATACGAAAAGAACAATTCTTATAGTAATTGTACATGTGCCTGACAGCACTCTCCTCTCTTCTGTGTTCCTTCAAAACCATTCATAGCATTACAAACACAAGTACTTGATTTCTTTCAGCATTGCAACTTTGATGTCACGTGGGTCAAAAAAATTTAGCCAGATATGTTTTGTGTGCTGTTACAGTGAGTCCTCATTATCTTTGAAAGCACCTAAAACAAAGAAAGCAAAAATTATACTCACATCAATGACAAAGAAGATTATAATCAGAGTAGTCCAGAAGACGATTGCAATGAAGAGCAGCAACAGCAGGAGTGGGTGCTGCTGGCTCGTATAGCGATACTTCTCATAGAGCGGGTCTGATATCCTGCAGTCATCATTTCCATTGAAGAAGTATTTACCTTTAGCTGGCATTTTCTCCCAGATTGGCTGCTGCTTCTCTCAGTTCCCAATGTACACAACAAGACACACCTGAAGCTACTGCTTCAAACAGAAGTTTTGTCTCTTCAGTGCTGCCTCTGTGGTCTTGAAGCACATCAATAACCTGTGTTCTCTGTTTTTACTTCTCATGAACATTAACTTCAGATTTCCAATGCAACCAAAGGCATAGGAGTTAGCCTCCCCAAAACCACAAGCAATTCATCATCAGCTCTAGGCATGAAATTCTACATCAATTTGTATTTGTGCAGATAGGATGTTTCAGCGTGGGTTGTTCCTTTTTATTATTATTATTATTTTGCAAGTCTTTACCTCCGTTCCACAACCTTTACTCTCACCTCATGGGATGAACTCTGCAGAGAGACAGTATTATTGAATTAATGAATTCAGTTAAGTGCACACAGTGTTTCCCCAAGGGGAAATAAACTTCCTATTTGAATGCTCTAAACAGTGAGCAAAACCTGTTTCTTGCTGGCAGAGTGGGAACCCAGAGGCCCTGTGCGTGGGTGCCACTGCCCAGCAGCGCAGAAGCTGGGCTCAGGCAGAGCTCGCCAGTGGCTGCTCTGCGCACACCATGGCACCATAGTGCAGCAACTGCAACATTTCCATGTAAAAACTGTATATCGCATTTATTTTGTTTCCTTCTGAGCAAATGACATAGTTTCCATGTACATGCTGTTTAAGCAAATATTAACAACTCTTTTGAAAAGATGTGTGTGTGTGTGTGTGCGTGTGTGTATGGAGTCTTGACTCACAATACATGTTAGTAGTACTCTTTTTCATAACATGCATCTTAAAAATTAAGAAACTTTTATTATTCCTTTCACACTTTAATTAAAAGGCATAGAAAATAAAAGAATACAACTGCCCAAGCCAAAATGAATTAAACTTTTCTTTTTAAAAAAATATAAACCAACTTAACTTCTAGTTCTATATATTTCATTCAAGCCTAATTAATAGTGTTGCCAAGGCAATAGGTGTGTTCTGTTAACAATGAACATTAAGGAATGAACTATACTGTTGATGACTAATAGCCAATGTTTTCCATGTAGATTCATGAATTTAGTTCACTCAATGCCAAGAGGTGTAAAATAAAAAAAGCAGGGGGATGGGACAGAGGGAAGCACGAAAAACAGGATTTCAGAAGAAGCCTTATTAATACTCGATAAGGGGACAACAGCTTCTTTGCCACTTGACTGCTGTCACCATGGTGTCATGGGGAGGAAGAACCTACTAAAAGACCTGTAGAAAAGACAAATGCTAGCTAGTTACTCTCAAAAGGCAACATGCTTAACCACACACGTGTTCAGAGCAGTCACGCTGCAACCAGAAGCATGTTAAGGAAAAAGTTCCAGAAATCATACAGAGTGATCTAGTCTATCGTGCCAAACACTGGCTATCCAGTTATTGATGACCAAGAGGCAAAACCAGATATACTGACACTGGATAAAAATTTAAGAAAGTGAACTTTTGCAGCATAATCAGTATCACAAACTTGGATTAATCACAAAAAGAGAAAAGACCAGATTGCATCGCTTCTACTCAGTAATACCTAGAATAAAGTCTCAGACATATTAAAAACTGAAATAAAATTGAAGACACCTTTCAATACCTCTTTCCCCTGTATAGTTAAGGGTACATACACATAATGTGTCATTTGTATTGGTTATTACTGAGCTTTTCTCCATAACAAACGACCTCCCATTTTTCACCTGAAAAAAATTTTCTGGTACTCATACCATGTGCATGTGCATAATCATGCTGTTGGCTAAAGTGTGTTAATGCATCTAGGAAATCTGCATCTTAGAAATCACTGAATTCATCTTTTGATAACAAAGACAACACACTGGAGACAGCAGGAAAGCTATGACTGTCATGTACAAGAGAGACAGAGAACTCGCTGAACGGCCTGAAGAATTCCTTCACCATGAGGGTGCGAGCGCAGGGATGCACTCTATCCGATAGCATCTGCTACACACAAGAGACGACAGCGTGCTGTCCCAGTTCACTCTAAAAGTGTATCTTCAGCATAAAAACGATTTACAAGTCCTTTAATATATTTGTAGAAATATGATTTTGAGATTAATTTTCATAATAGTAAGTATTTTGAGAGGCAACTTTATTTTTCTAATTAGCAGAAATAAATCAGTTTTCTAAAAAATGCCAAGCAGTAATACATTTGCAATTATGAGAGAAGAGTAGTCCTGTCTTGGGCTACTTAATATTGAAATCCAAGAAAAATTACTCCACATACTGCTTTCCGTAATTTATTCTTCTGACTATGACAACAAAAAAACAATACCAAAGACAATCCCTAGTCTATCGAACTATACTGTGTGGCTGTGGTTCAGTTATTTATATGTTCAAAAGATGAAAAAGACATCAACTGTCAGCTTGGAACTAACTCTGAATATTAAAGAGTTTTACAGGACACTAAGTTGAAGAGACATGTCTCTTCAATGGTTTAATCCATTTAAATAAAAAAAAAGAGATTGCTACCTTATTGATTTGTTTATTACTCCACTGATCTTTATAGATATACATTACAAGTAATAATTAATTAGTCCTGTCTCATAGCATTTTCTTTCCAAAACTCTATTAGGTAAAGAAACCCCTCCAAAAGTACTTTATTGATATACCAACAATCTATAATACGCTGCATAAATGCTACTTTGAGATGAATAACTCTGAACCAATTTCAATTTGTATTCCACGTCCCACTGCCTCTACCACGTCCCTTTATAAAAGTTACCACAGAGCAACTTGTGCTCCTTCAGAACAAGTTAAATTTTTTTTAAATTGCAAATTACTCGCAGCACACAAAATTAGCTATTTGATAATCATGCAGTTATGCATGAGTTGAATAAACACAGTTTTACAAATGTAATGACCTGCCAATCATCTTACAATCAAAACCAAAGCATACACAACATATATTGGTGTAAGAATTGTATTTCAACTCCAAACCCACTACACGCACTGAAACAATGGGCTGTTTTAGTCAACATTACTGGCATTACCTCTTTCCATTAACATATAAGACAATCTGTTGTTTAAGAAACTTTAATAGATTTAGTTGAAAGTCACCGCTTCTTCTGCCCTATCCCCTTCTCTTATTTTTTCTAGCAACCTTCTAAAAATGTATATGACCGACTTGAGAGGAAAAGATTGTGTCTGACAGATGGCATCATACACTCTAATAAAATCATAAATTTAAGACACTCATATTTATATATTTAAGGATCACATAAGCATTGCGCACCACAGCATCACTTTTGCACTTTTTTGCTCATCGTTTCTTTGAGATTTGCTCTTGTGACACCACAAGAGAGGTGTAACCCTGAAATGGCAACAGTCCACAAAAACCAAACAGCACTCCCAGAAGCACTAGTAGCAAACACACCAATCCAAATGGGGACTGGATCAGGGATGCTGCCATAAAACCATGGAGCTCCGACCATCAGTTTGTTAAGAGAAGCCTAATCTCTTTAGAAGCCTTCACTGTGATCATAAGAATTAGAAAGGAGAAGGAACAATCTGTCAACCAGATCAGTGTGTATCAGAAGCAACTTCAGCAGCATGGGGGGTTGAAAACTGTACTGAGAACCTACAGGAACGCCTACCAAGCTAACGATGTGATTTAGTCAGATCTAGGTGAGCTCCACAGCCACCTGCATGCCAATTAATGTGAAAAATATTTAGCCAGATAAATTTGCCCAATGAATACGTAGGAACAAACACTGGACATGCAATAGGCATTAAAAAAAATGGACAAGATTCCTTCCAGAACATGAATTAGAACAGCTACAGCCTTCTGTTTTACATCTACTCTGTTTCAAGCCACTGGGAACAAGGTTGTGTTCAGATTCAGCAGCAGAAACTTATCTAGGTAAGTACTGGCAAGACCTGGCACACACGCACAGCTTCCTTTCACCTGCAAGCAAAAAAGACAACATTTCCACCTTCCACATATCTGGGTACTTCACTGCTCTAAGCTTTTCCTCCCACAGATAGACATTTTCAAGCATCACTTAACTCTGCTGTCTCCTACTGACAAAGGCACAGGATTTTGTTACAAAAAATACGAAAGCAAACATTCCATTAGGCTACAAGGCTTGGACTGAAGCTCTTTTGTTCTCCTGGGCTAGTTAAAACTGTCCACAGTACTTTGTGTCAATACACAACGTTTTCTTAAGAACTGGCCTGGACTCAACAGCTGCAGAACAGACATGACAGCACTACAGAGCCTATAGAGACCAAGTGTTTTCTTTAAAAGAAAACTACCTGAAACATGATATCACAGGCTACACCGACAAGTGGTATTACAAAAGTCAGAGAAGCCTCTTTCTCCTGCAGTTTGCTCAAGATAAGTAGCTACAAAAAGCAAGTCTCTTCACAAGGAAAACTAATCTGGGAACATGCATCACACAGACCAACCCTTTGCTGAGGCAAAGCAGAAAGTTCGGGGCAAATGAGGTAAATCAGCTGATGGGCTGAGAAAACAATTCCCTGTGCCTGTAAAGCAGCAAGGACTTCCCTCATTTCCCTTCTCCAGCTTTGTCATAAACAATATGCAGTGCATCACTAGGTAACAGCCTTCCACCCACGCATTTGCATTGCAGGCATATGCTCAGGATATATTTTCATAGTACGGCTCGTTACTAAACACAGCCTTCTTCTTCCCATCTTATTTTCTAAATAGGCTATTACCACTTTCCAAAGCAAAACAGCACTATATTTTCCATTCTAACAGCCAATTGTCACCCAAATGATTTTGTTAGCACCTCAAATTACATTCTCTGGTCAGGTGACCAGCTGTAAAATAATGTAAATATTTGCAAGATGTAAGTGATTTTTGCCTCCCAGTGATTCACTCAGCCCTACCTGTGCATATTCCAACCAGCATAGATGAAACAAACCTGAATAACCAGGAAAAATGAAGCTCATTTTTCTATCACCTTGAGACAGAATCACAA